TCATGTTGCTGCTGCTGCAGTGCCTGAGCTAGTTGTACATTTGACGGTGGTCTGCCTGCACCGGAGTCAGCAGGGTCCATGTTGGCCAGTTCTTTCTGTTGTGGGTGGCTCGAACACAGAAGTGAGCGAGTCACAAAAATAGACAGACCCAGGTGGTAGGTAAGTAGGTGCAGCCGGGCAAACCTGACATGTATGTGTGTTGCAGATGTTATTTGACAGGAGAGAGGAGGCAAGTCTCCCAGTGGCTTGTTGTAAAAAAAGGTGAATTGTGAAACATACTGCTGTGGTAAATATAGCTATCTCTGAGGCTACAACACTCAAGGATCATCTGAATGAAAAGCTAATACTTTTATGCATGGATTACTAAGATTTACCACTGCATTATTACCAACCAAGAAGTAACACCAGCCAAAAGGAGTTTTCACAACCTGGCAACCCCAAATTTGATCTTAATAATGGATTATGAATTATAGTTATTACACAATTATAATGCTGCAAGTTACTACTAATGATCCCTTTTATCCACCATGTGGTTCCAATCATAATATATTTGCCAACTACTTTGGTTTAGGAACAAATGCCTGCAAAATGAAAGACATTTCAAGCAGTGGTCATGGCAAAAATCAGTAGGTTAGTGAACATGCTGGCATGCTGACATTATCGTCACTGTGTCTAAACTCAGTTAGTATATTAGTCTGTGAAGGTTTTACCAAAAAAACAACCAAAACTGACTGAAGTGAATAGAATTACATTTAAATGAATGAATTTGCTGCATGCATACAAACACTTCCTGTACCTACTGAGAAAACAAGCTGCTGGGTGATAAATTACCAGAGTGTCTCTATATCTCTGTTAGCAGCTGGTTTCTGCAGTGCAACAAACCAGTCCGGCTCTAGTCCAGCTGGCCAATCTATTTACACTACCACACATAAACACTACACATAAACACAGGATTAAGGATGAGTCTGATTTATTGCTCCAGCCAGTTGTTTGGCATCTGGTGTCACAGAAACCTCTCTTGGTGATTGTGTTACAAGTGTGAATTATTATTATTATGTTGCCTAATAATCAGCAGGATCAAGTTTTGCTTACGGCTACTATTTGTAATGTCTAAAAGCTGTCCACAGATGACTCACACTTTAAACTGGACACTCAAATTTTCCTGTATGAAAAAAAACACAGACTTTACAAATACACAAATGCAGACACATTCACTCTCTTTTTGTCTTCATCTCACTTTTAAAGTGTGTTTTATTGCTCTTTCACACACACACACACCCTCAGACCCAGTAGGGTTATATTGGAAATGAACCAGCTGGAGCACCAGTAGGACCAAGAGTCCATCCAACTTGGTCCCACCAGGGTCAAAAGTCACAGTGTAAATCAAACAACTGCAGGACGAGATTGTGAGAAACCATAATGCGTGTGTGTTCTTGTACTTGCTATATACTAGTGAGGACCAAAAAAATATTTTTTGCTACAGGGTGAGGTCATTTTTGGAAAGTGAGGACACTTTGGCCAGTCCTCACTTTCCAAAACAGCTTTTAAAGGGTTAAGACTTGGTTTTAGGGTTCAGGTTAGAATTAGATTTAGGTTAGGGTAAGGTGTTAGGTATTAGAGTTTAGTTTAGCATTTAGTAAGGCATCAGTTAAGCATGTTGGAGAGCATTAGAAGCATCCAAAGGACTAAAATTTGATTCAGATGTGGCTTTTTTCCTGCAAGTACTGTATGTAACATTGAATCTGATGTGATAATGGCTGGAACATTAGTACTGCATCAATATTACTGGGGGAAAAAACATTCCTCTGTATAATTTGCTTGTGTTACAGCAGATACATCCACTACAAATAACATTAGACATACATATGCATATTGCTAAAATGTAAACTGCTTTATTTAACATTGTGTTGCTCTGTTCTGGACCTGGTTATTTCTGCTGCACTCCCTGACTGCCACAACACTCTCCAGCTGTCATGATCACTTTGACCACTATCACTTTGTCCCTGATAGTCAAAAATTAGAGCGAGAAAATAGTTTATGCAGATTTGAGAAAATACAGGAAACATGCACATATTAAAAAAAAAAAAAAACATTTTAGAACAAAACGGCTTCTACAGTCCAAAGTCTGTGTTCAGTGTGACCTCCCTTTGCACTTAGCACAGCTTGAATCCTTTTGGGGAGACTGTGTTGAAGTCTTGAAACCATGACAGAGCCATGACATGTTTCACTGGAGGCTGTGACCACTCATTCTTCCACCTCTCTCCAACTCTTCTTCTCACATACTGTCAAAGACAACTGGACCCGACCATTTCAAACTTTGATTTATCACTCCATAAGACTCTTTTCCACTGATCTTCACTCTAATTTTTGTGCGCTTTTGCATATCTCAGCTTTTTCTCCCTGTTCCCCTTCTGAAAAAGTGGTTTCTTGGCTGCTGTCCTTCCACAAAGGCCGTTCCTGATCGAGCTTCTTTGGACTGTGGAAGAATCAACTTGGCATCCAGATGAAGCTGCCAGATGCTGAGGCATGTCCTTCCTCTGGTCTCTCAAAGAAGAAGCTCTGAGAAACTTCTCATCAGATGTTGACTGGTTTCTTGGTCTTCCACTCCTGTTTTTGTCCTTGACATATCTGGAATCTTCATATTTGTTTAGAACAGCTTGAATGCCACATCGGGAGTATCCAGTTTGTTTGCTGTTTTTTTCTGACGATTTTGTGATTTTTAATACTGTGTACGCATTTCCTATATTTTCCGGTTGTATTTTGATAAAGAGACTGAGAAATGAATACATCTAGTCATCATAACGTTGCTGAAACAACAAATCTAATGGTGGCCTAAGACTCTGGCACAGTACTGTACAATAATACGTCGCTCTGGGTATCAAATAGTTTCAGGAAATCCGATAATACCAATAGACGGTGTAGTTGTGCCATTTAATCTGTGTTCCCAACTTGTGGCTTTCTCCAGACACCGCAGTGACACACTTCTTTGACTCAGCCCACCTGTTGAGACACAACACTGCACCATAGCAACAGTCTGTAAGCTGTCTGGGTATCGGGTTAGCTATTTTCCTTGTTGTGCAGCACACTAAACACCTCAATGCCTCGTACTCACTTCCTTTTAAGCTCTTGATAAGGAAGTGGACCTTTTTTCCCCCCTTTCCAGCAAGAGTGACCTAAAAGATAGCAGGAGAGGGGGTGGGGGGTATGTGTTACAGTACAATAGTTGCTAAATCTTTCCACAGTAACCATACCAAGCACTGAGCATGTTTAGTGTGGGAGGCTAATCAGCTTTCTGCAGATGAGCTAATGTCCTTACAGTGACTGAGAGGGGGGCTATATTTAGCACCCACCCTGTTCCTCTTAATAGGGGATAGCCCTGATTTCCTCTCCATAGCTCATCTTTGGTTAAATTCATCAAGGAGTCCAAGCAGGCAGAGATGGATGAGGACAACAAAAAAAGAGGGCATACACAGATGGCATGAAGTTGTCGTGTGACACTGAGAAAATAAACAATCTGATATGAGACAAAACAGCTTCACACATAATGAACTTATTAAAAGCATTGTTTTAGTCAGAAAAATGCAGTTAAAGCCAAAGATATAAAAGAAAGAAAAAGGTTGAAAGAGTAATGAAAAAGAGACTAAGTAAAATATTTATTCTCAGTGTCAGCAGGGAAAGTGACATCTGCAGGCTTCTGGCCATTAGAGTGATGCAGACCTGGAGCCAATCCACTCAGTCTGTTACCATGTGTCCCTGGAGACCAAGGCTCTGCTGGTAGTAAGGGCTGTGCATGTACACGATCTGCCTGCTGTTGCAGTTACACACCCAGCTAATTAGCTCTGGTAAACAGCATGTTGACAGCCGCTGACAGTTGTTGACGCTCATTGGTGACGTCTCTTGGAGGTGAAAACCATCATGTTCAGCTGTCACTTGCTGGCAGCAACAGTCATACTGGCTGGGATTGTGCAGGCACTTCAGGATATTGACCCGATGAAGACATTTCTTTGGGCAGTCAAAGCCTGTCCAGAGCTGTTTACCTCAGCTAAACTAATATCCAATTATTGTGGCTGGTGGTGTGTATGATAACAAACATAAATAAATAACTGAACTGAACAACTCTTAACTGATGGTCTTGTTTTGCTTTTAATTCTCAAGTCATTAAACTTGAACACAATTATCAGATCATTACATGTAGAGCAGTGAAACAATTTCTTTAAAGCAACAGAAACAGCTGAGCGCACAATACTAACGTCAAAATTAAATCTGCAATCTCAACAAAGCTGCTGTGTCCACCTGCACTGCTCTTCGTCAGCCATAATTAAACACAAATTCATGCACACCACAAAAGATACTTAGACTCAATGACACATCTTTGAATGTGCTTGCTACAGTATATTAGCCAAACACAAACTGTACAAAAATAGAGATTGATAGAAAAATAGATCTTACAATGTGTTTGAGAGAATATACTGAGTCTTTTGCACTTCAAAGGCTGCAAATTTAAGTCTCAGGCAACTGCTAATATTACCGTTCAAATGTCCATGTGGTTGTGTCCATCTGTACTCTCCCTCATTGTTTAGTACTTTCCCTTAGGAAGCGATCAGACTTTAACAACTGTCAGTTGTTCATGCAGCCAAACTTCCACACATTTCAAATTAAATGCTGTACATTGGCCGTTTTTAATGAGCTGACATCATCTTTGATCCATGTGTAAAGTACTATATCGGCTGGGTTTCTGATTCTACACAATCCAACCTCCACCCCTCTGGCAAACATACATCTTGTTTTATCAAATGTAAAGTCTGCAAATATTTGCAGATGCCAGTACAGAGCATGTATGTCCTGTACATATTTATACTGCATACAGTCTGTCAAAATGTCTTTGCATAGAAAATGTATTAAAAGGGAAAAAGGGACATTCTTATATATCTGATTAAAATAAAAAGGATATAAAATAATATTTTTAATTGTATTAAAACTTTCCAGTGTCATTTTAAAAGACTGGTTGTCCCTGCTTCAAAATGCATTTCATCTGGTTTTCTTTCTGTTCATTTTGTCTTTGAAACTGAAGGGTATATTTGACCATTTGTAGTGCTAGGGAGTAACGCTTTTACCAGTGGGTCCCTCTTTTGTTTGTATTGTGCATGCACATGTGCAACCATGAAGGCAGCTCCATTTACATCCTGCCTTCGGTTTCAGGCTGTTCCACTGATTGACAGCTGGTGGTAGTGACACACCAAGAGGTATGCTAACAAGGCAGTGAAGAAGAAGACCACCAACGTGGATGTAAACAATGCAGGAATTACAGTTTTCGACAAACTAATGCTTTATGAGGACAAATGCACACTCAACACTTTTGTTAGATGCACAATGTGCTTTGGTGAGTAAGACTGAATGTAAACCTGACTTTTGGTTGTTTGCATGGGAACTCAGCAGGGCAGCTTTAAGTAAGCCTGAGCTGTATATTTACAATCTATTTATTATTATGCATTTTAGTCTGAATTTGCCAAAGTTTAGTAGAACACCCCCCAAATGATTAGATTATCTTCTGTCTGTGATGAATAGCTTCTTGGCTATCAAGCTGTGCACTGGTCCACCTCAGGTTGCAGTCCAATACAACTGCAGCTACCTCGCCACCAAACTTATTTCTTTAACTGTACATTTCTCTCAAACCTGCAATTAGTCTTGCTCCCCTACACACACCCACAACACACAGATGATGAGATTATATTGTTGCTTCCTCTTTGGTAATCAAAATGTGTGTTCATCCAGCAGGGCCGCAGATAAGAGCAGTCTTCAGCTTAGCATCGCCAGAATAAGTTGGTCCTATACCTTCCTCAGTGTAAGAGACGCTGCTCTCCATTCTCTGATACATTCATTATCACCTTGAAAATATCAACTGGACAACTCAACAATTCTTTACAATAAAGAATCATGAAAATATCTCCTTCTTTTATGTTTCCTTTAGGCACTTAAAGAAAATATATTGCTGTACTGAAATAAAGCATGCATTGTTTTGCCATTTCTTTTTGTCTCAGAGTTGGTAAAACTTGAGAATCAAAGAAGATGTTTGAATTTGTAAACAGTATCAAGTTCCTCTTTTTTGCACTGTGTGAAAAACGTCCTCCCCACCACATACACACAACAGTGACCATGGAAAAGTCTCTGTTCAGCATGGATGTGTTTCCTCTGTTACTGTCTATATCAGGATGTGTGTTTGTTTTTGTCTGTAATGTGAAAATTATGAATGTTCATCATTTGAAATGTTAGTCCCTGTGGGCTGCAACTTACAACACATGAACATCATCATGCTCAGGCTGTTGATGACTTCGAGGTTGAGCTCAGTTTGTGGTTTCCTCTGCCAGATCAATCTTGGGCCTGATGAAAGAACCCTAAAACTGATGGGTCAGCCTCTTTCACATTGGCATGTCTCCCTGTGTGCTCAGCTCCTCCTGCTGTGGCGCCACAGTCTCGATCCAGATCCCGTGTCCTCATTTCTCTTCCTTCCTTTATTCTCTTCTTTTGTGTGCACTCTAATTTAGTCTCCTGTATTTCCTTCTCTTGTTAATGTCAATTTAATATCTCAAGGGATCATCGTTCATCTTTTTTGAGCATAAATTCCATCAGTTGCACAAAAGTGAATGTTCAATAGATTTAGTTACAGGGCAACCAGGTGGCATACATGGAATGTTGCTGAGGAGGAAAATACTGCTGAGAAGGTGAGGGTGGACAGGAGTAGACAGGCTGAACCTGCACTACATAATAGTTGCTGAAGTTGCCGTCTGAGACATATGGCGCTGGCTGGTAGAAGCAGGTGACATTGGCAGTGCTGGGGATGGCGTTCTGCTCAGCCAGGATGCGCAGTGCCAGCGAAGAGATGAGGCTGAGAGTCTGACGCCTCTCATGGCCCATCAGGCACACTGTGCTCTCCTGCACCACGTTGTACAGCGTGGCCAGATAGTCATACTTCCTGTCCTCCAGGTCTACAAAGTGGTTCTGCAGGTAGGACTCCAGCTTCCTCCTCTGCTCGCTCACATCAGGAAAGTCTATGAAGAAACGGGAACACATGTAGCGCTGCAGCAGTTTCATCTCAGTGTCAGAAGCTGCACGGAAACCCCGCACCAGCAGGTGGCAGTACTTCAGCAAGCCCCCACCTCGAATCTCCTCAGGACTCCGTGTGCAGATGAGGCGCTTGCGCAGGTGATCTAGAGCGGTAGTGAAGTCACCATAAACACTCTCCCCATGGATTGTGGGGTGAAACGCAGCAGCCATGGGGTGCTCCGAGCATTCGTAGAAGAGGAGAAGTGAGTCCAGGCGGATCTGGAAGGAGTCCACGCTGAACTCAAACTGCCGTCGAAGCGAGTCCACGAACTTGAGCTCCACGTTTTTACCATGATTGTTGGAGAGGGAGATGAGACTCCAGCGATCGGAGTCATTACACACCTTCACCATCTTTTGCACATAGGCCTCCTACAGTAAAAAACACATAAGTGGAAAATTTGGCATCATCATAGACAAAGAATGGTTAAAGATACTTGTCATTTGGATCCAAGTCCAAGTTTAAAGTAACTGACTGAAAACTGCAGTGAAGAAAATTTAAGACCTAGGTAAATTTAAGTTGTATCCATACCACTGACTGTATAGAAATATGGACACCATGACGGCTCCCAGAAATGAAGCCACCGGGACTCGATTGTGCCCTTGGCGACTGATTGCATTATAGATCATAAATCCTGCCTCCTGTTAGTGGATGGGACATGAGCCAAACTAAAAACTCAAAGTAGAAATCAGATAAATTTTTCCCAGAGGTGATTTCTGTTGTTTTTGGTAGCTATTATCACACTGCTGTTTGTATAAGTGGTCATTTTTCTGTTAAGTGTTTTATATTAGTTTTTTGACTGTATCAAAAGGGGTGTATTTTGGATTATTTGACCGCTTTGATTGGTGGTCTGATGCCCCTCCCTCCACTTATTTTTATTTACTTCCTTCACCTGCTGCTTTAAAGTGCCTTAGATTTGTGTTACTGCTCATCTACCTTATATTTCACTTGTATTGTGTGGCATTCATGTGGACGGCAAAGTAAGAATTTCATTGTACAGGGAAACACATTTCCTAACTGTGCATATGACAAAAAAGGGCTTTGACCTTTGACTTCTGGTCTCTACTGTACAAAATCTGGCTGCAAAATGCCAAGATGGTGTTGATGATATTTTGGCTACAGTTTTGCATAGTGGTGGGAGGTGGTTGCACGTCAGCCATATTTATATACAGTCAGTGATCTGCTCATCAATCGAAGCACACAAGTGTAGAAACATTTGATCCAGTATACGTGCACAGTCTACACAACTGCAGCAAACACATGACTGTGCTTTTGCTGAAAAAGATACTAGATCTGCTTATTAGACAGATGCCTGGTTTCATGATTAGGTTTATTAAAGACTGGACTGTGGGTCTTACATGGAGATGTTCTAAGTAGAAAATGTTAAAAACCAGTCTTAGTCAATAACAAAACATTAATTATATTTGCACCTGATAAAAACCTTGATTTTGTCTGTTAGTCATGATGTTTTGCTGATCACATCTGTTGGTCAGCTATTAGTAGCCTGGGTAGTCCTCAGTATCCAGGTAACTGAGAGCCGACTGATTAATGTGAATCCAACTCCAATTGGATTAGACAGAATCCTCTGTGATCTGGAAACCAACCTTTTCACTATTTGCAGGCGTATATCTGTGCTGGTTGGATGTTTGCAGGACAGATCTCACTGCTGTTTTTGTGAAACTCATTTAAAAGTCATTTGCAAACAAGCATTTGCAAACAAAATATGTGTGCACTGACTGTGAAATGCAAAATAACCTCAACAATGCATCCTGTGTAATTAGTGTGCATAAATGGAAACAAGATAAAGAGAAGGAAGAATCAGGTTCTACATAATGCGTAGTCTTTCCTGGTTTGAAGCTTTCAAGGTTTGAGAGAAAATGTTAATTCTGCTTTGCGGGTCATATAATCAATATGAGATACAACTCCATACCTTCAAAGCCACTGGTGTGATCTTTTCTTTATTCACTTCCTTGGGCAAGAAGTCTAGAAGAGAGTCAAAAACTATATCTTTCACCATCTGAAACGCCATCTCTCCTTTAAGTTCGGCGCAGAATATTAAGTCCAGATCTTTCCATCCTAGACCGCTGTCCTCGTGCAGGACATAGCTGGCCGCGGAGCCGTTCAGGCGCACCTCCCGGACATGTATCCGCTTCTCCTCCATGCGGCTCCGGACCACCTTGACGATGTCCCGTGGTTTCACCTCCAGAGTAGGGAAGCTCCACCGGCCGTGGATGGGGATGGAGCCGGTGAGGATGGTATCTAGCCGTTGCACTTGCTCCCAGTTTAGCACACTGAGGTTGATGCTCTTCCCGTCCGAGCGGCTGTCACCAATGCTCTCGTCCATGCTGATGAGGAGGTAGACAGTAGAATGTAAACGACAAAACTCTCCGCAAACTCCTGCTGGAGCAGTGGCATCAGCTAGCTGCTTCTTTCAGTAAAACGGACCCCTCAGAGCTTAACTCGGTCTTAACAGCAAGATGCTGGATTCTCTACGTATGTCGGAACTATTTGGGCGGTGTTTGTCCTGCTTCTTACATAAAGTCTGTTCCCCAGAAGATTTCAATTCCAGCCGTGAGGCTTAGTCACTGCCCAGCATCTACTGCCCCGCTGCACTCTGCGCTCCGCTCCGTGTCTGTTGTCAAACTCCGGAAAGCAGACATCACCTGCTCAAGTCCAGATGGCTGTTCCTCACAGTGTCAACTTGGCGTTGCGCTCCAGAGCCTCACTGAAACATCCATGCATCCAAGAAAACGTTTCATCCATTGCTGAAGTTTTACAGTACTTCGCTCCTCTTTGGCTGACTTTTACGCACAGATTATTGCGCGTCCATGATGCGTAATAACAACGTTAGGCATCGTTTTAAGATCCCTATACTTTTCAACTGCACACCTACTTTCAGAAAGTGGTGTATGGCTGCTTATCCTTTACATTTTGGCAGATTGTCACTCGTTGATACTACATGACGCCACAGAGGTCCCACAGCACAGCTCCTCATGACAGTGTGAACGCTGTGTCCTTCCCGTCTGAAAAGTATCGGGGCGGGTTGGTTTGACTAACAAACTACACCCACTATCAACTTGCCAGCAACAAGGCGTGTCTGGGATGGGCGTTACAAGAAGTGAAAAGGCACTCGATTGGCCGCTGACCTTTCACTAAACGCCCACTTGTCAGCACAAGTGTAGTCACTCTGGACCTCTAATGTACAACATACAGTATATCAACAGGGGCACCGAGACTGATCCACTGTCAATTCTCCACTGTTCTGTTTTATTACAGCAGTGTGAATGAACTCAGACGTTTGTGCTGCTTATTTTAATACCACAGTACATGTCCTATGCTTACTTATATTTGGAAGTGAAGAAGAGTGTTTTTACCTGGTGCAGTTGTGGTCAAGCAGTCACATGGGAATTATATTGTTGCTGCACAATATTCATTTTCAGCTGATCTCACAGTAGCCTATTGTCCTATTGTAATTCCTTCTGAATAACAGCTTTATAAATGTCACAAATGTAGGTAGCAGTCTGGTCATTCACAGGTGAGGAAATACACATACACCCAATGCCCCCTAGGGGTGGGTTTTGCAACTCTTGATTGGGGTTACTTTATGCACCTGCAGCAAAATTGAAAATAATAATAATAAAAAGGTGTGTAAGTGCATAACCTCTGTGTATATCTAATGTAATATTTATTTAATTAACAATTTAAATATTACACATTCAGTGCACGATTCACGAACATGTCTGATATGTACTGTAAGATGTCCAGTAGGTTGTCTGGTACGGGTACAGGGTATAGGCCATATAGTTCCTAAAGTTTAACTGTCATGCAGAATCTATCAGTGCAGAGCTTGGTGCCTATATCTGCGTCACTACAGATGAGCCTATAAACCAGCTTACTGCAGATTACCCTATATGTGTAGTGACACACACATTCACACAGAAACACAGGCATATGTGAAGAGACACAAGCGCACTCACTCACAGATCTACAGATAATGCACTGCTCATGTCATTCTGAGGTATCTTTGACTGCATGCGTTCACAACAATTTGATAAAAAAGTTGGCAGGATAGCATCTTGGCCTTGATGTGTGGACTTCTCTATTTATAAGTACTTTACTCTTATTTTTTATTTCTTTCCTAATGCACATGCTTGTTGACATGTACTGTATGTACACATTGAGAGCCGCTGTACCAGAGTCAAATTCCTCGTGCGTCCAACACACCTGGTCAATAAAGCTGATTTTGATTCTGATTCTGAAAAAAAAGTGCAAAGAACTACTGTGTGTAGTGATCGAGCACAAAACAAAACCAGAAATCCTCTAATAACTGTCAAATACTGTATTATCATTCAAGAATTTGAACCATAAAGGCCCAGACAGTTCCCAATTAGCATGAGGTATTTAGTAGGTCAACATTAATGTAACAAATTTTGGTATCAGTGATAATTTACGGATTTGAAGTGTGTGGGGGGCTGTTTTCCGTTCCTGTTATTTAATCCTCATTATATATAGTGTGGCCAAAGATACAGTCGCTAAGTATTAAATGACAGTCACTTTCCCCATTCAATGGGGCTCCCCGGCTCAATGTCAGTCTTACTGCTATAGATGCCTATCAATAAGCTGCTACTTATCTGACCTCTGACTTGTCAAGTGGATGACATGGCTTGGTTTCCAATGTCTGACGACATCAGGGGATTGGCAAGGGGATTTCAGACAGACCCCCGGTCAAGCTGCCTTATATGAAAACAAATTTGCACGTGTTGTATCTGTATGTAAAGAGCTTCTACTGTATATACCACTCATATTTCTGTTAGTTATGTCTCAGTTATTCTTATTAATGTGTAAGATGTTTTTTTTACCATGCTGCTCTATGTGTGCATTTGTTTGTGTAACATTTTAGAGCTGAATGTGCAGAAATCCCTCTTTACTCAGAAGTAGGAAATGAAACCAGGAGTCAGATTTCAACATTTCCTTTGGGCTGTTTTCTGATTGCTTTTCTCCCCACCTTCACCCCGAGCACCCTCACTCCCCCCATCCTATCCCACTCATCCTCTTTTTTTGCTCATCTTCTTTTCTAGCCCCCCTTTTCACCATTCCTACACATGGAAGTTCATTAAGAGATTACAGTGAGCCCGTTAGCTGAATGTGCACCCACTTGCTTCCTCTTTCCCCTTCCCTTTGCTTTCATTTTGATTTCATTTTGTAAGGAAAAAATTGGTATTTAAGTATTTTAATTAGTATAAGTATGTCCTTCTCTCTGCTTTTCTACTGTAGAATGCGGAGTAAAACAAGTCTTTTTCAGTCGATAAAACAGAATATAATCAGCTCTTGCATTCTTGCAAAGACTAACAGCTTGTTAAAAAAATAAAAACAGGCATATTGTTTTTATTATTATTATTTCTACAAATGTTAAACCTCTGACACCAAATCCTTCTCTACTGGCTTCAGCTTATGTTACATTTATACTGGAGCTGGAGTACAAAGCTGCTAACAGAGATTCAGTGTCATTTTAGTTAAAATAATAGGAGTTCTTACTTTCGATATAAATATTTTAATGGTCAGTTTCCATGAATACCCTGTGACACCATGTCAACCAACGATCGACTCATTAACCTAGGTAACCTTACCTGACTTAGGCTAACATCATGAGATTAACTAGTTCAGACAAGCAACTGGTGAGGTAACTTGTGTTTTTACAGTCTACGTGACACTACAGGATGGTGTGAAGAGTTTAACATTAGGTGGTTGAAATTAAACCACAGGTTTGTTGATTTTGTCATTTGCAGCCTGTGCAAATTGTTGCATGTCACTACCTGGTGTGAATGTTTATTAAGAAGGCATGAACTGTAAGATTTTGTTTTATAAGAAAAGAGGATAGGTGCTTTAAGGAAGAAAATACAGTCACCATGTGCACCAGGTTGTTACTGACTTGTAAACAATGTTAGCAAACCCAAGAAGCTAGAAATTAAGATTAAATATTTAATTTATGATTAAACTTTCTCATATCACACCCTTCCTTTAAACTTGAGGTAGATGTCACAGGGAAATACACACTTGTACCAAAAAAGTGTCTGCCATTGAATTTAACTTGTGCAAGATGTTGTTTTTTGAGTTTAGCCTATAGCTAACAAACACAGGATACAAAGCCACACATATCTAACCACATTTGATCATACACACAGGTTCCCAGATATGTATTGCTAAAGCAGAAACACACACACACACACACACACACAGTTATGTGTTTTCATAACTTCAGACTACATTACATTGAAATACATTAATTTCCCAGAGACTTATTCTAACCTTTACCATGACTGCCCTAACCTTGAACCATGTCTTGCATGGTTAACAACATGACTGTATAAACAAATTTATGTCCCCACCACATGAGTAATGTCCCCCACCCACACAGCCACAAATTGCTTATGTAAATGTATAAAAAGTGGAAACAGCATAAACTTCTCTGTTATTAAATACTAACACAGTGGATGCTGTTTGCACAAAAACACCCTGTGAACCAAACTCAGCTCAGTTTTTAATGCAGCCCATGAGATTCATTCTGTACAATCCCCTCGCTTTGTAAGCCAACATTTTCCCTGTGTTTTAACTGACTAGTTCACTTTCTTGACCTGTCACGGCTGTGGATAGCAAAGTGCTATAACAAGATAAACAGGAAGCAAATTGCTTTATCTGTGACTCAGCTTCCTGTATGATACTGTGGTCAGAGATGTTGAGACCAAATTTATTTTGTGATTATCTCTTTCCCACGGAGACACACACATGCACAAACATAATTTGTGCATATTTGGGTCCCATCACTGAAATAAAACTGAAATAAAGACAACACTAACATTTCGCCTCTCAGCTGTATCTGAAAATGTGTTTTATAATATTTCTATTGCATGACTTTTACAACATAAAAAAACAAACAATTAAAACAAAACAGTTTTTTTGTTGAAAGGTATGCAACCAGCTGGTCAAAGAGGGCAACTGGTCTGTTTTATATTTTGTCAGTTTAATTAAAAATGTTTGCCCTCAAAAACACAATACTGACTGATACAATAAGAGCTTTAAGGCAGGTCCTGCCTTATCTTGAGGGCCTATTCAAGTGGGTCAGAACAAGTCATTGTCTTGAGTAGTTTTCTGTCCATGTGCACTCGGTCAACTGAACTCTTCTCCACTAGAGTTTTATTGTTCCCCACTCAGAGTATGCAACTTACCACACAGCAAATCTGGGGCCAAACTGCTGGAGCCCAGCATGTAATTTTTATTGTCCTGAGACTCCCCTAAAAGGCTGAACTAAGCTAACTGACTGTTTTAGTCTGTTCATTTCACTTTCACCTCCCTCCTTATGCATACTTATGGAGAAACTGGAAAACCCCTTAGTGGACTCAACAAAAGGCCACACTGACACAGCTTCAGTGCCATCTGCTGGATGATTGCAGACTCACATCCTCTGACATGTCACTAGGTGGTGCTCGTTTCCTACTGCTGTGGAGGTGGTTCATTATAAAACACTTACTGTAACGTTTCCCACACTTCAGACTGCACTGAAATGTGAGCACATGTATTTGTACAGCTGTGTTGGGTAAACAGTGCCATCCATGAGCCAAGTTACTGTGGGTCATTTTATCATTAAATGCGATTTGCTGAGATTCTGGTTTTAAAAGCTGAATGGGTAAAATGCACTAATTAAATGCATGCAACTTTAGTGTGACAAAATGACCTAAATGAATTATCAGTCTTTCCAAGCATCTCTTTTTTTCCTCTCCGCACATATGTATTTAATGATTCAGGGTGAGACTGAGCCCTTGATCTGATTAAACGTGTGCTGACATTAGCAGTATTGTACAGTAGGTATCTGCTGTGGGAATTCTGTGTGAGCGTCACTCAGGTTGCCCAGCTAGAGCAACCAAATGAGCCTCGTGTCTCATCAATTAAGCACTGTCTCTGTAGTTTTTTCCTGTTGTTGAGATCTTTGTCTGCATTATTGTCGTAGCCACAG